AGGCGGGCCTGGCCGGAACTGGCCCACGACCATCCCATGGGTTTTTTTTCTTCAATTTTTTAATATTTTTCTATTTAAAATGTATCAAACCTGTATTTATATTTATAAAATTATACTTAATTTAAAATTTTTCCTATTTCAAATTGTTTATTTGATATTATGTGTGCGTTGCATAAAGATAAACATCATATATAAAATATCGCAAACATACAGATATACGTGGTTCAGACTACAAAGAAAAGAAAAATCTACATCCATGAGAAGTTAATAACTTTTATTTAGTCTAAATTTATAGACATTACTTTTACTACCTTCAGTAATGAAACTCAAATTGTATAAATTATGCACATCTCTAAAAATTCAAAATTTATAAAAACGTCAAAAAGATTATAAATCCACAAACAATACACTAAAAATCTACGAATTACAAACATCCATCTGAAAATTATGGAATTTGTAGAAAACACCCTAAAAATTTTGTAGCAAAAAAATTAAATATTCAAAATTTACAAAAAACACCCTTAGAATTTCAAACCTAACCGCACATTGAAAATACCTGAATTACAACAAAGAGATAGCTAAGGAATAAATCCCCAGCTCCGAACCAAATTTTCTAGAGACTGATTCATGCACAATTCTAACTAGTCTTTGTGAGCCCTCAACTAGTGACAAGAAATTGATCAATGAGATGTTAAATTGAGATATAATTGGTTGGGAAGAAGGTGGTACCTTTTGATTTGAGATCCTCGGTCGTAGAGGGACCCTTTAGAATTGGGGGAGAGATTCAGGTAATTTGTTAGGGTTAGGGATTCCATCTTTGTTCGTTAATTTGGAGAAGGGAGACACAACGTTCGTAATGTAGGAAGAAAAAGAGTTGTTTATGAGTTCGGATCTGACTCCTTTTGGGCTTCAGGCCATTTATGTCGAGCAATAATGAAGATCTTTTAAGAGGAAGTGGTTCTTATTATATGCACATCAATTACTCTAAGCAATAGTTTATATATGCAAAAAGTTTCAGACAATCTATATAGTAGTTTGGTCTTATGTGGAGATGGATTCAGTTAACACATTTAGAGAAATAAAACAGTTAAACAATTTGCAATATGTAAACAGGACCCTGAAATTTTTAAAAATTACAAAGAAGCACTCAAACTCAAAATTTATAAACAAAATACCCTGAGAATTTCAAGCCTACAAACGATACATTGAAAATATAGGAATTATGAACAACCCCTTGAAAAGTTTAAAATTTGTAGAAAATATCCCGAAAGTTACTAAATTACAAAAAACACCATAAATTTTTGAAAATTTATTAAAAATTAAGGATGCAAAAGGCATATTGAAAATCTATGAATTAGAAATTTGCAAAAAACACTGGAAGTTTAGAAAATTGCAAAAGACACCCAAAAAATTTAAAACTTTTCTCGACCATTTTTGCAATTATGTGATCTTCATTGTAATGATTGAAAGTTTTTGAAAATTTTAACGTGTATTTGTAATTTTTTGAAATTTCAAGATATTTTTATGCAATTTTCAAAACTCTTGAGGGGTTTTTTCCTGGTTTTATAAACTTCCATGGTGTTTTCAGCATAATGCATAGATATATTGAGCAATAATGAAAATTTCTGAGAGATGTGATTCTTATGATGTATTAGGCCATGGTTATGGAAGTGTACACATCTATAACTATGTCGAGTTTATCGTAAACAAATTATCAAGCAACTGAGTTATAATAAACACATCCCAAAGGAAACAATCAAGGTTTTTAACCATGTACAACGTACGTGCATCTTGACTAGTGTCATCAAATGTATGTGGATAAAAAATCACATGGTTTGGAATTTTTTATCCTATAGTTCAAACAACTTAAAATAATCAATATTTTAGATCATTACAGATTGTTCATTTCTAGGTTTTAGATGTATAAACTAGAAATATTTAATCTATATGAATTTTTTATCGATATGAATTTTTATCATAATGAATGGTGTGGATCGTTAATATTCATGGGCAAATGTGTATTTTTATGGACCTGTGTAACTAACTTAGTTACACCCTATATGTATATATATATATATATATGGAGTAAAACTCTTGTCAACTTAAGTGGACCGAGTGCTTCGTCCTCCAAAGTTTTTAACCGTTGGATTGTGAATCTTGGTAAAGATCTTGATCAAAATAAAGATACTCATTTATTACAAAAGGATAAAATTGACATTAACAAAATAAGCAATTAATGTTCCTCTTCCTCCACGTTTTTTAGGCAACAGAGAGAAAGAAACAAAAATTCACGTTCTGGCTTCACCATGGCGAGTGCCTCAATTCGACTTAATTCTTGTTCATATCAACCTTATCTACGATAACACATAAATAAGAAAAAGTTTCAGCTTTCTTTTTCTTAGGGCAACATGAAGAAGGAAAAAAAAATTCAATGATTGCAATGGTTTGAATTTGATTCACTGCCATGCACTTCAATCCGAGGTCATGCCTAACTTCATGCTTCAAACCGAGATCACACTCAATTCCGTGCAATCGGTCCTCTTCTCATTGCCATGTGCATCTCTTGTTCCCTCTGTCGCGAGCCCAGCCCTTCGAAGCTCTCAACGACTATCACGACATGTGCCTCAATTCTAATCTAGCTGGCAATTAATTTATGATGTTTTGTATTTGTGTATCTTTTTCTTTGGTGTGATTATACATTTTTTTACCTGTAACCAAGTTCAGGATGTAGGTGGAGGGAAGAAATGACGGGAAGCAATGACGGGAAGAGGATGGGAAGCAATGATGGGAAGAGGGTCTCTTATTATTTTTCTGTCCATATTAAGTAACTTTGGGTTTCCTTTTTTATTAATTCTAAGAATACCTTTGTAATAAATGAGTATCTTTATTTTAATCAAGATTCACGATCTAACGGTTAAAAAGTTTGGTGGACGGAGCACTCAATCCACTTAAGTTGACAAGAGTTTTACTCTCTCTCTCTCTATATATATATATATATGAGAAAAATGGGTATGTATGGTACCGAGCACAAACTTGGTGCTTAGTAGTGAGGTGACTCATTCTCTTTCACTCATTCAAATGGTCCCCACTTGAAAATAACCACCCTTTAATTTTTTAACTCATGTGAATATGATCCCTTCCTTTAAATAAGTGGATGAGAATGAGTCACCTCACTATTAAGTACTATGTTTGTGCTTGGTACCAAGCATACCTATATTCCTTCACACACACACACATATATATATAGGGATTAATGAGTATCATGTGTCACATGTGAGGATTCCTTCATGTAATAATGTGGATGAATCTCAATCAAGTTTGGCTATGATGGTTTTTCTCTCCTTTTTTATTTACTTAGTGGAGATTGTGTCACATCATTCTGTATGAGGGAGTCCCCCATATAACAAAGCCAATGATACACATTATTCTCATAAACATCAAGGCATATATATATTATATGTATGTAAGTATATGCGCATATATGTACATACGCATATACATATGAAAAATGCGTATGAGGTAGGGCTCATTTTGCTAAATAAGTTATCAAGAGATAGTCATGTGGTGAGCTTCACCTTGCTAGTCACATCAAAGTTGTAGGTCTCACTATCTCTATGTCTTGATAGCTTGTTTTGCTAAATGAATATTCACCTCATAAACATCGAATCATATATACTATATGTATGTTAGTATATGCACATATATGTACATACACGCGTGCGTACACACATATATATAAGAGGCGGTTCATTTTGTTAAATGAGCTACTGAGAGATAGCCATGTGGTGAGGCCTACTTTGCTGGTCACATAAAAGGTGTGGACCTCACCACTCTATCTCTTGGTAGCTCATTATGCTAAATGAGCCGCCACCTCATAACCATATGTGTGTGTGTAAGGTTAATGTGTATCACTGGCTTTGTCATATGAGGGGATCCCTTCATATACAATGATGTGGCTCAATACCAACCAAGTATTACTACAAGGTTTCTCTCGCCTTTATTCATTTGTGGAGATTAAGTCACATCACTCTCATATGAGAGAATCCTCTCATATGACAAGGATATCCATTATTCTCTCTCTCTCTCTCTCTCTCTCTCTCTCTCTATATATATATATATATATATATATATATATATATATATATATTTGTCATATGAGAGGATTCTTTCATATGCAATGGTGTGACTTATTCTCAACCAACCAAGCGTGGTTATGAGAATTTCTCTCTGCCCATTTATTCATTTGGTTGATATTGAATCACATTATTGTATATGAGAGAGTCTTCTCATACAATATACCGATTATTCTCATATACATATATACTATATGAGGGACGATGCGTACGGCCACAATATGCTTAGTTGTTGACTTGTTGTTAATATATAAAGGAAGGAACCTGAATTTTAAAGAAAAAAAAGCTTGGGCCTTTTTTTTAACATAGTCTATTTTTGTCTTGTACATATTTGCAAGATGAAAAAAAATGTCTGCATTTGTAATCGTCGGACGAAGTAAACACATGTGCCGTGTCCTGATATCTCATATACTACAATATTTGATTGGGGAAAGTATCATACATGATGTAGCCAATAAAAGACTGGATTATTTGTTTTAACAGAGGTCATTTTTTTCTAACATGAATTTATAGTTTCATATAATAGCTAAATTTATATATTATTAATATTGCTTTGATGATTGAGCCGGAGAAGGATATGACTTATGGTTGTGTATTGTAATTAGAAAATAACTGTCTAATAGTTAATTTACTTCTCTTCATTTTCATTATTAAGATATCAGTATGAAGTTCACCATTCTTTTTGTCATGGTACAGTTTGATAGTTATATTTGGAGTCATTAATTATTTACCTTATTTGTTCTACAGGTGTCCTGCATGCAGAAATTATAAGGTACAAGCGCTTAATTTTTTAAGCTACATGCTCAAAGCACTTCAAGTACTAACTTTATCTCTCTTGAGAGACAATTTACAGCCACATTATGAGAAGGTTGCAAGACTTTTCAATGGGCCAAATGCAGTGTATCCGGGGATTATACTCATGGCACGTGTTGACTGTGCAGCTAAGGTATTAATTGTGGGTTTTGGTTGGCAAATGACAATTGGCATGAGATGTCTTCCTGTTTCACATTATAGTAATACCAATGTGCTCCAACATTTCTATCATGAAGCTATATGCCTATATCTGTGTTTGACTTCTATCAACATAAGATTTTCTGGATGCAACTTTCTTTTAACACTTTATGGGTGTATTACTACGATTGTCGGTTACATTACATGCTTTATAGGCATCACACATATTTTCATATCCTTTTTAAGTTTTATTTTTTTTGCTTTTTCAAATTTATTTTAAATTATAATAGGGTAGCCTGGTACACGAGGCTCCCAACATTGTGGGCTTTGGGGGCGTCAGGTGTAAGCAGCCTTACCCCCGTATGCGAAGAGGCTGTTTCCAGGATTTGAACACATGACCACTACGTCATAAGGCAATAACCTTACCGTTGCACCAAGGCTCACCCTCTTATTTTAAATTATAACGCAGACAAAAATATTTTCTAATTATAGTTTCAAACATCAAATATACACATGGGGTTTATTGAGCTCTTTAGGTGATCTATAAGATGTTGAAACTATGTATACATGCCTGTATATAAATTTAAATGTATGAAATGTTTATTTATCATAGGTTAAGATTACATTCGTATTGCTATCAATAGACCAAAATTCATAAAATATGAGACACACATCTACATGCCGTGTGTGTGTGTGTGTGTATGTGCATGCATTTGTCTGTGTGCGTATATATATGTCAAATATTTGGCTTCTTTAGGAGGGCCTTCCTGTTAAGTCCAGTGAAAAGAAAAAAAAACCAAATTAAAGTTCCATTCCATTCAAGTTGATTGTTAATTATTTAGAGTCGTTGGAAAACTAGAAAGCCATTTACCTAACAATTTAGAAAGGTATGGGACTTGACAAAGTGTAAGATTTTATATTGTCTCGATCATGATTGATGATCCAATGTTTGGATGAAGAATTTGTATGCACCAAACTATAGATCCAACTAAGATACTGCTTACCAGACCTTTAGTTTTCTACTACTTGATGCATAAATAAGAAAGTTCAAATTCACTTGATTTAATGTTTTCAGGCACATTACATTTCATAACACGCGCATACACTCACGCATGCGCACACACTCTCTTTCTCTACCTACGCCTCCTGCACTACACGCAAACTCCATCTTTTGCACAAACACATGCACAGTTCTCTCTTTCTCTCACATATACACTGGTATCAAATCTGTAATGACTCATGATTTTCTGATTAGAGAGATAAGAAGAGCTGCCATTATATCTGAACAAGAAAAGGAATTATCAAGCTCGACCTAGCTTACTTGAAATATTTTTCCATGCTTTCCTACAAACCAATCCTAAATGTAGAAAGAGAAATTGTGGATATAGATGCACTAGCAATAGTCTACAATCTGATGAGGCATCTCTCTTTTTGTGGACATGCACATGTTGTAAATACAAAAACATCTCATCATTCCTCATCTCACCATTTGTGGACGTGCATATGTTTTAAATAGAAAAACCTCTCTACCCGTCCTCATCTTCTTCTTGTTTTAAATATAAAAACCTCTCTACCCCTCCTCATCTTCTTCTTGTTTTAAATATAAAAACCTCTCAACATCTGGTTTTTGTTTTTAAATGGCTTTAGCTTGGCAGAATTGTAGAGACTAGGATTTCTAGCATGTGCCATAATGTATCGTGTGCATGAATGGAAGGAATCATATTAGTTGTTAAGACATGAAGCTTAGAAGAAAGCCTAAGAATCTAAACGAAGGCTTAGAATTAGCATGGCAGAAGTGAATTAATAAGGTCAAAGCTTTATAAAGGCGAGGATAAATGAGGATGTGGTTCATAATTATGGACAAGATAGCTGAAGAATGACTAATTTCACTGTTTAGGATTAATTTGTTCCTGTGATTATGAGGTTGAGGACCGTATTCATAGAATCAAGACATGAACGTTAAAGTAGAGAAGCTTTTCTGTGGTATTATGTTATTGTTGAATACCAATGAAAAATTAATGGAAGATTGTCTAGCTTAATTATTTGAAGTAAGAAGTGACTTGTCCAAAAAATTTTAGCTTAATTGTGGATGTTGAGACGATTGAGTGGTGACAAATATAGGATAAGAAATGATTGTATCGATCAGAAGTTAGAGGTTGATTGGTACTCCAATTTAGGGGGAAAAAATGAAAAAGAACTAGTTTATATGATTTCATCATTGTGCCGGTTAAGAGAAGTGATAAAGTAGTATTGATGGATCATAACGGTGAGTGAGAACTTAAAAAGATATGTATAGAGGCAGTTACAATTTATAAAGCATATTATGGTTCTTAATCTAAATGGAGAGATCGAGATCATTTAGCCAACCCTAAAGATTTTTGGGTAAGGCTTTTGTTTTGTTAATGTTTCAAAGAGCGATCCTTGCTGAAGGCAGTCTAGAGCTATATTAAAACTTATGCTATCCAAATTCTTATACATATTGCACTTTAGATGCCTCATGGAAGGAAATTTGCCTAGTCTTTTATCTTGTTTCTTTATCTACTCACTAGTACTCCCGATGCACTCGATGTGTGCATGAAAAATACACATTTATGTGAAGAAATTTTTAGCAATAAGTTAATAATTGATGATTGATGATAAAATAAAAAATGTGTAAAAATATATTGTCAAAGATTTTTTGAGTGTCGCGCAATTCACAAAACAATAACACATTATTTAAAAAATATTATCAAATTTGAAACAAAACTTGGAAATTATAAATTTTAGGTTATGAGCTACCACACAGAAAAACATTTGATAGAGCTTTTTCTAAAGAAAGGAGATAGAAATACATGTACACATTAATGTATTAACTTCACATATGCTTAAATTTCAACTTGTACTTATAGATAGTTCGGCATATCAAAAAACATCCGAGCAAGAACACTGAAGGTAATTACAGCATATGTTTAATTTCAACTTACAGAATTAAATATGTTCAATGCGCATACAATGAGAATATTTTTCGAGCACTATTAGCACATAATTAAGCAAATCAAGGAGAAAAAGCATTGAAAACCCTTTAATATGAACACATACTTGTGATCTGTAATTGATGATCTTCTCCTGAAAGTAAAACACATATAGAAGATCCTGGAATTTCAACTTGTGTTTGCATGCATGTGAAAAAAATTTAGAAAAGGTAAAAATGATGAAATATTGAAATAAGGAGGAAAGTGGAAATTTATTTCTGATGCTATAAAACCCTAATTAAGCAATAGTAAATCCTTATTAGGCAGATGAGGTAATAAATCAGAAAACCATATAATTTTAGTAATTACGTACCTGCAATTTTCAATATAGTATCTCTGTATCTCCAAAAATATAACATACAAAAACCTGGAGTTTCAAGT